TCATGAAATACAAAATTAAAATAATAATAATAATAATAATAATAATAATAATAATAATAATAATATCATTCATAAAACTTAATTAAGTGTAATTATGTATTTATAAAACCTAATTAATAAAACCTCATTTATTTTCCCTCCAAAAGATGTTACAAAATTTGTCATTCATATTTTGCCTTTCACATTAATACACCCTATTAAGTATAATCATGTAATTTTTTGCTATTATATTATATAATAGTTAATGCTATTACCAACTCATAATATTTCACACTAAATATAAATTACATAAGTATAAACAATTTTACTGTTTCAAGATATTATTATTATTATTATTATTATTATTATTATAGTAGTTAATGCTATTTTTTGCTATTATATTATATAATAGTTAATGCTATTAATTTTTTTACACTTAATATGGGTGTATTAATGTGAAAGGCAAAATATGAATGACAAATTTTGTAACTTTATTTGGAGGGAAAATAAATGAGGTTTTATTAACTAAGTTTTATTTATGAGGTTTTATTTAATGATTAGCTAGCAATTATATATATATAGATAGATTATTAATTTGAAATTTTATTTAATATATATTTAGTATAATGAAATGTGAAAAGGTAGTAACTAGTGAGCTAAACCAAACAAAAGCCTTCAATACAATTCATTTTCAAAGTACAACTTTTCCTCTTTTCCTTTTAGCAGTCTGACGAGTCTTCACGACATCGTTTCTCTCTCTCTCTCTCTCTCTCTCTCTCTCTCTCTCCGTACAGCGCCGCGTATCTATACCTCGCCGCTCTCTTTCTCTCTCTAAATATTCATCGGTTTCTTTTCCATACGCCGGAGATTCGGAAACATTACGCCGGTCTCCTCCGATTTTGTTATTCCGTGTTTAGCAGACGCTCGCGATACCCGTGGAAACGTGTGTAGGTGTGTCTGCACGATTTTTCAATCTGTGTCGCTTATTATCATTTTGATTGATTGATTGATGTGGTTGAACTTTCGGTCTGAAGGCTGTGAATTCCGTATTTACAGGTTTTTCATCAGGTATTTGAAGTCGTTGATATGAAATAAAGCGAAGCGATAAAAGGGATTCCGAGGAATTGAGCGATCTAGGGTTTTTTTTTCCGTTTCTGCAATCCATCCCGGTGATTAAATTTTTAGGCTTGAGGTTAATTTATTGATGAGGAGGTGTTTTAGGTTTTGCTTCCCTTGATCATAGTTAAAGTGGAAGCTTGAAGGGAATTTGGGAGGTTTTTTTGATGCTTGAAATTGGGGAAAATGCAAAAAACCACATTTTATTATGCATGGGAGGGTTTGTCGGGGTAGCGAGAGCTGCAGGTGTTTAGAGAGGAGTTGCCGTCGGCATATGCGGTCAGTCCTGCCGTTAGCAGCTGCCAACAACGCTGAAGTTCTTGCTGGTGATAATCGCACTCACCGTGATTCATCAATCACCACTTCGGGCAGTAGTGATTCATTCTTCAAGGTATTTTCTTGGTGGGTTTTGGTTCTATATTTGGTTCAGTGGAAATTCATTTTAGTTTTTTTTTTTTTTTTTTAAAAAAAAACTTAAATTTGCTATAATTCTCATAATTTGTCTGTTGGGAGGTTCAAATCTCATTTTGTTATTGGATATTGGTGACGAAACGCAATTTGTTTCCTTGTTCAGTGATACCAGGCTTCGTGTCGAATGTTGACAAGAGGATGATTACTGTACTGATTTCTTGTTTCTCTTTCCATTTTGGAGTTTTTCATTTATCAACTTTATTAGAAGCAGTACAACACCCGTAAGATACACGGATGTTATTAAGAAATTTATTAAAAAATATTAACATTAAAACTATTATAAATTCTCAAATACTTCTTAAAGAACTACATTAAATTTTCATTTAAAATGACTCTCATGACCCGTAACACTCACTCGTAATGGTAGATATGATTATTTTTATTGTCTATATGCAATATGAATGACAAATCGAAAATTGTCTAAAGATGATTAGTTTGTTAAGTCATACATGAACAATAAAAACTTTAAAAGTTATTATGCTTTAAAAATATCTATAATTTAAGTTAGCCAAGTGTTTTTATACTTTTTAAAGTTCTATAGGATATAAAGTCCAGACTACTTAAAAGCATCCTAAATTGACACATAGGAATGAAGCACTAGAGATTGCTACAACTTACGCTTGAGGAACTCTTATATATAGAGAAGGATTCTCTTTCCCTCCCTATCTCTCCCTCCCTCCC